GAAAGAAAGAAAGAAAGAAAGAAAGAAAGAAAGAAAGAAAGAAAGAAGAAACCATAACAAACGGTTAGCTTCGAAAAGTAGACATGCATTGTGCAATTTTACACCATGCAGAACAGACTGATGGGTTCGATGCTATCACAAAATGCGGGATCAACAATTACAGACATCTAGATTCTCCATGATCAGTCTAGGAAAAAGCACCAGAACACTGATGATGTAACCTAGTTGGGTCATAAGATGTCTGCAAGGAAACCATCAAGCTCAGAGCGGAGCAAGGACCCCACAGTCTATCTCCTTTTCCTCCTCCTCTTCCTCCTCTTCCTCTTTCTCCTCCTCCTCCTCTTCCTCCTCCTTTCTGCAAATCCCACTCCCTTCTAGTGCTGAGGATGTTACCTAGCTGGGTCATGAAATGCCTGCAAGAAACCCACCAAGCCCAGAGAGGACCAAGTTCAACCCCCCCGAGCTACAAATTCTTCTCTTCAATCGATTCTTACCTCTCTTCTTCCATCTTTTTCCGGAAAATATCCCTTCTCCAAGCTGGCATGCCAGCCAGGCGCGCCTCGTCTTCTCTTTCCTGGAAGACAAGAAAGGAAGGAGGATCAACACCCCTCCCCAAGCAGGAAGGTGTTGTGAAAGGAGGGAGGGGAAAACTGGAAAGGAAGAGGGAGGCAACCTTGCCGGAAATATGCAAGAACCCTTCAGTAAATGGAAAAAGGGATGAAACGTTTTTTAAGTCCAGATTTGGAGGCGGTTCAGACAAACAGCTGCCTACTCTGCAGAGGTATAAGGGGGTGAAATTCATCCCAGTTAAGCTTGTTCTCTTATTATAACCAATCTCAATACAATACAGGTAATCCTTGACTTATAATCATTCTTTTGCAATAGCTCTGGAAAAAATGACTTACCACCCTTTCGCCGCATCCCCGTGCTCAAATTTGGTCACGGATTTACGACCATTGCAACCCTGTGGTTTCCCAGCCGGCTTCCGATAACTCAACGGGGAAGCTGGATTCGCATAACGGCCATGGGATTCACTGAACCACGGCAGCTATTCACAGAACAGCCATAGCATGCACACACAGACACAAAAAGTAAAAAAAAATGGAGTATAAATAATTTTCTTGGGGAGGCCGAGAGCGTGGGATTATTCTTATTTATCTGTAGTTCGTTCTTCTCTGAACTTTTTCAGGGTGACTGTGAAATTAGGTGGATAGCTAATTATTTCGCATCAAGCAGGGTCCCTTCCAGCTGTACCCATTCTGCAAAAGCAAAAGTCACCACAGCACCCAAAAAGCAACCGATGACCATTTTTGCACACTTACGACCATTACCGCTTCTTCATGGTCGAAATTTCAGGCACCTTCTAACAAATCGGGGCTTTGCTTTAACAACTGTGGTGTTCGTTTAACAACCGTTGCGCAAAAAGGCCATAAAATCGGATTGATCTGTGAGCTGGGGAATTCTGGGAGTTGATTGTCCACACCTCTTAAAATTGCCAAGGTTGTAAAACACTATTTTAAGGCAAGTTGGACTCCCCTTTCACTTAAAAAAAAAAAAAAAACTTCAAATGTTGGGTACTTTTTAAAAACTTTGCTGGTACAACGATCCAATACAATGGTAAATTAAATTAAAATTCCCATTGGATATAAAGCTATCAATTTCACCAAGGTTCAAGGTTAGACAAAAAGGGGTGTTTTTAAAATTCATTCACTTTTTATCCCTGAATAAAAAGATCTTTAAAATGTTGAGAATCCGTGCCACTAAAACTCACTTTCATTATTTTTGGAACTTCACAGTCAAACATTAATTATTCAGATTATTTTTTAATGCGGTGTTTATCCCTTCAATCGTTGAATGGAGGCCAGGATAAAGATTTTCAAAGTCTAAACTAACACAAGAGTGTAGAAAGGAGAATATCCAGATGCCTTTGAGTTCCTTTCTCTCTCTCTCTCTCTCTCACTTTCTTGGCGATGACAAAAGATGCCCAGTTCCTTGCACACAATATATTTTATTTCTTCAGACAACAAAAATAAAGGCAAATTTCCATCAAAATGAAACCGGCTCCCCAATTTAATTGAGGTTGTTCCCCTATTTTTTAGTAGTAAGTGACCATAGAAGAAAATAATTAGGAAATCTTGCATAATAACACACACAAAAAAGGAGCCATCGCACCCCTGCCAGGATAGCAGAACACACAACCAAATCACACACTCAGGGGCAAAGAGATGTTAATTTGTCTCTTCGCATTAAAACTGTCGCAAAGTAAATTGTCTTAGCATCCTACCACCTTTCTCTGGGGGTGTTGGGAAGAGAATTGATGGAACTATTATGGGAAGTATAATCAGTATTTCGGAAATTAATTACATTTACAGATCATCAACTCTAAAACACTCTCGATTCGCTGCAAAATCACTTGGTACAACTCTACCGTGACGTCTGAATGATGTTGCGTGGAGCATGTCGTCACGCAACCAACACGGATGAGGCACTGATGTCTTTGGCATCATGGTGCACAAAGCTTCAGTTTCTTACCCTGCGGAAACTATTCCGTATACACTCTACACGCCGTGCCTTAATCCCATGTGTTGAATCTGCAAAACATAGCTAAGATACAATGGATCCTGCTTGGTTGAGGACTTACTCTGTTGGACAACTGGCGTAAATGGATTTATTAAAAAAAAAAAAAAAAACTAAAGCAGATATGGGGCCTGGTTTGGTTCTAAACACCCTCCCTGTCTGATTGTGCCTTTATCTGCTTCAAACTTTCTTGATTCCCAAATCGTGCGCCCCACCAATAACTAAGTGCTCTTGTACAGTACAACTTCTATTTGTTTTTCCTTCTTCTCAAGAGTTGGGTAGCAAAGTGGATTCGCTTTTTTCCCACTTGCACAGAGGTCCTGGGTGTGGCTATTGGTGTGTGCAAAGCCAAGGAGCACATGGCAAAGATGAAAAGTGAGTCCAGGCAGGGCTGCCACTCTACATATGCCTTGGAACTGTAGCGGTGTTCTTCGTTGATCTCAGAATTGGGTGCAGCAGATCTTGAGGGAACTCAACCGTGGTCCATTCCCTTGGTCCACCAAGACCAGCCAAAGTCCTAGCTAGGAGAACCTTACCTTCTTACAAATGTTATTTGGGAGTGTAATGAATGTCACCTTCTGAATTGGTGAAGGACCAGTTCTGAACAGGTCCGTGTTTAAGAAGCTATCTTCTGCAAAGGTCTGACCCTCAGATGGCAAACATCTCGGCCTCCTTCTCTTTCCAAAATGAGAAGCTACGATCTATGTAGCGGCAAATGTCATCGCTGCTGAATTCTCCAAGCTCTGAAACCAGCTGGATGGAATTCTTCCTACTCTTTAGAGCTGGGACAACAGCTAGCTCCTCTCCAACAGACACGGGCTCTTGGGTGCTACTGAGCAAGGACTGGGAGGATTCCTGGTGGGAGAGAGTAGGGGGAGAACGTAGGGTTTCGGCTGGGACATCCACACTGGGTGTGGTCCCGTGGTCCTTCACCAGGTGGTCTCTGAAGAACCTCTCTTTGAGGTCCTCAAATCCATCCAGCCAATCCCGCTGCCCGGCCTCCACTTCCTCCATCACCACTTTGTGAAAGTGGCGGATGAGGTCCCAGCTGTGGCTGCCCAGGTGGTCAAACATCTCGTAGCAGAGCAGGTGGCGAAACTTGCGTTCCTCCCGGCTCATGTCCATCTCCAGCAGCTGGAAGTAACCGAGCATGAAGAGGTCCAAAGTCAGGCTATTGTACTCCACAGGTGAGCCATCGACGTGCGGCAAAAAATGTTCGGGCCAGTAGAAAATGTCAACGTGGCTCAGGCGGCGGATTTGTCTGGTGGGAACCTGGCTGATGATACTTCTCCAGTGAGTGAGCAGCTTGCCCACCACCTGACGTTGCTTCATGAAGTACAAGAGTTGGTGGTCCTCGCTGGGTTTCGGCTCTGTGGCTGTCAACGCAGACCGGTTGTACGCTTGGCTGTCTTCTTCCAAATCGAGACCTGCCATCTCCGCCATCCTCCTTGGCTGGACTGGCCTGCCCGAATCGGTGAAGGTCCATCTCTTCCAGTGTTCCAGGAAAAGGTAGACAATCCGTTCCTTTCGCAGGTCAATGTAGTCTTGGATGCAGCTCAGGTCCGTCTGCACCGGGAGGCTCCTAGTCATGTGGTCGGGGCTGAACATGGTTTCTGCGAAGGAGTCTCCTTTGGAGAACGGGCTGGGTCCCACCTCGTACAGAAGAGGCGCGTGGGACCGCTGGATGGGGGGTTCCAGACCAACAATGGAGGCCTCCTCGCCTTCCAGGACAGGGAACGTCTCCAGGCCCATGACGTAGTCTTCTTCCAAAATGGGCTCGCGTCCGAGAGTGAACTGGGCCGTTCCCACCGGCAGGGACCGCTTCCTTCTGTACACCCGGTTGGTTGCTTCGCTGATCTGCTGCGCCTGGACGTGGACTTCGTAGTTGGCCTTCAGGTTCTTTACTGACACCCCCCACTGCAGGATCTCCTTCTCCACCTCCTCCCGGGTGCAGCTGAAGGACTGAGAACGGGCGATGTGGCTCGGGCCGTCTTTGAACGCAGCGGAGAGGAGCACCTGGGCGCCTTCGCTCTTCTGCGCCAACGCTTCGGAGGTCACCATTTCCGCCAGGCTGGTGGCTTTGCCGCCCAGCGTGGCCAGCAGGATGGACATACTTTTCAAGAGAATGGAGATCTTGTTGCACCAGCCTGGGAGGTCCTCCGCCCGTCCGTGCATGCACTTGGGGTTGACGGTGAAGTGTTCCTTCGCTAAGGCGGCCGAGACAGGCAGCAGCTGTTGGAGCTGCTGCTCCAGTTGTTCCAGTTCAGTCTCGACTTTCTGCACCTTGTGCACGACCTGAAGGTTCTGGATCTGCTTCTCGATACGGAGGAGGTCGTCTTCGGTCATCAGTTCCCCGAAAGGTCCCAAAATGGCGTTGTGAGCATGGGAATACCGCCAGCCTTCCTGGGGGTAGCAATGCCCAGGTCGTAGCTACGCAAGACAAAAAGAAAGCACAACCCAGCGGGCGAGGAGGGTCCCTCAGGACGGGCCACTACACCATCTGCGGTCTGCACCCCGTCTTCGCCTTACATGTTACTTCGTGGTGTAATGAGAACGGAGCGGTTGAGTAAAAACTCCCCGTGGCAAGACAAGCCATGGGAGGAAAACTGGAGGGCCGTATCGGGAGAGAAAGACCGATATTTTTCCGCTCGGGCGGACAGGCATGCAAGAGAATTGTGCAAGGACACCGCGGCGTTGACGGCAGGCGCCGCAAGAAGCATCCACACGTTACACCACGAAGCGCTCATGTAAGGCATTTAATTCCTGCAGTATCTGGCAACAAGGAGTCAAAAAGAGCTCTTAGATGCACCGGTCGAATCGGTGATCTGGTGGGGAAAGATTTTTGTAAGTCGCCGAATACCTGTGGCGGACATTTTGACCACAACAACCGCTGTGCAGAGAACCGGTCCTCGCTTGGCCCGTCGTGCAGGTTTAAATGAGCTTCGGAGTTGGTCACACCAGGTCAACGCGCACAGCCATGCAGAGAACATGCTGCAGCCCCACACGGAAAGTAGAGAGAAGTCAGAAGGAAGGACCCCACTTTCTCTAAGTTATTGGCTTGAGAAGGTCTGCAAAAGGCCTTTTGATTGTGAATCTCCATTCACGGCCCCACAGAGCTTGCCAACCTTGGAGAGCACCAAGGACCCCTCAGTCCTCCTCCTCCTCCTCCTCCTCCTCCTCCTCCTCCTCCTCCTCCTC